TCAGTATCTATGTTGAAGAAAGTAAGTGGTATCCAATCTCAGGCACTAAGAATAGGAAGTGGGGCATTTAGAACATCGCCAGTCTCAGCGATGCAGGTGGAAATGGCGGAGTTGCCTTTAGACCTCCGGAGACTTAAGTTAAAGATGGCATACTGGTGTTCTGTAAGGGGGCATGTAGAAACCCATCCAGTCAAAGATGTTTTACAGAAATGTTGGGAACATGAGTATATAAATTATTGTAGTTTTGGATGGAATGCCAACGCAGATGCTAAGAAGGTAGGAATTAATGACATAAAAATAAGTTCAACGGTAGCAATACCAATTATACCCCCTTGGCTGTTCCGCATGCCAATGGTAGATCTTCAGTTGCATTTTAAAATAAATGAAAAGGAAAGGTGTATGCCTAAAGAAATAGTAGTGGATCACTATTTGAAACAAAACTATTTTAATAGTATTCAAATATATACGGATGGGTCAAAAAATCCAGATTCTGGGTATACAGCAGCAGCCATATATATTCCCTATTTTAAATATAGCACAGTTAAAAGGTTATCTAACGATGTATCTGTATTCACAACAGAAATGGTGGCAATTCTAATGGCTTTGCAGTGGGTGGAAGAAATCAATCCTATAAGTGTAGTAGTTTGTTCAGATTCATATTCAGTATTAAACAGTTTAAATAGTGGGAAATCAGCATCTAGACAGGATATACTTTATGAAATTTTACAGAATTTATATAGAATAAACCAAACAGGAGTAAGAGTAGAGTTTTTATGGATACCTGCCCATGTAGGTGTAGAAGGGAATGAGGAGGTGGATAAGCTGGCCAAGTCAGCATTGAGAAAAGAAGAGATTGACATAGAAATTCCTTTAAGTAAAACAGAAGTAAAAGGTATTATTAAAACAGCAGTTGGAAGTATGTGGCAAGACGTATGGAATAAAGAGTCAAAAGGGAGACACTTATTTAGTATTCAACAGAAAGTGGGGATTGAAAGAAAGGTATATGGAAACAGAAGAGAAGATACTGTTATAACCAGGATCCGTATAGGACACTCTAACCTTAATTATTCATTGCATATAATAGGAAAAAGTGAGTCAGATAGCTGCAGTTACTGTGGAATAACAGAAACAGTTGAACATGTGCTCTTACATTGTGAGGCATATAATAGACAAAGAAAGCAACTTGTTGAAAAACTAAGAGATATGGAAATCATGACATTTCAGTTATGAATATATTTCAGAATGCACAGAAACATCTAAGGGTTTATGGTTTTCTTCTAAAATATCTGAGAGATACAGATTTGATTAGAATATTTTTTTAATTTATTTTTTTATTAGTGGTATATAATATGTTCGTTCATCGCGGCCTCACACTCCATACCAGTAGGTGGCGGAAATGCACCTTAAGCTGGTTTGCCAACCGCCATTAAACACAAAAGAAGAAGAAGAAGAGAAGTACTACTCGATCCGTACTGGAAACACGATTTGTACTGCGCATGCGCGAAATTGCTTCCACTTCCTGTCACCGCCAACGTTTTTACGACAGTCTAGCGATATGGATTCTTTTGCATTCTATGTACAGGTTCAAGAATTTCTCTTAAAAGGAGAAATTCCTGACAATTCTGCAAATCGTCGGAAGGTTAGACGGGCGTCGACAAATTTTATCATCAAAGGTAACTATTAGTACCGAAAGATTTTATAATGAAAAAGAGAATTGACTCTGTTACAACCTGGGCCGTGTGCTTAATTCTATTTTTTTTTTTAAATATCAAGCTACGTTCACTGTACTTGTTTAGCTCCTATATCTGGATATGTAATTTGATCTTTTTACATTGAATTGCAGCTTCTTCTGACTTTCTTTTTTCCAATTAAAATAGATGACAGACTCTTCTACGTCGGCCCCAGTAGGCAGTACATCCGGCTAGTTGTCCTGTCAGAGGAAGAGAAGAGGTCTGTTCTTACGGAGTGCCACAATAACCCTGGGACTGGCAATCACAGTGGCGTCAGAGGCACTCAAAACAGGGTTATTGCTGGCTACTATTGGTCTACAATTATCCAGGATGTGAAAGAATGGGTAATGTACTACATATGTGGTACTTTATTTTCACTTCTACTTTTGCCCGTTTTGTTTTCTTTTCAAGTATCTATACTTAAGAATATGTACATTCTTGCCACCTCTGATTGTTAGATACCTCCTTGATTTAGAAGTTATATTTATTGTCATCACCAGCTTATATCAAGTGGCTGTTTTTCTTGACATTTTGTTACAAAAAAATTGTGTTGCTTTTTAGGTCAGATCCTGTCACCGCTGCCAGTTGAATGACCCCATCAAGACTGTTGTGCCAGTCTTGCATTCTATTAAGGTACTGCATACAATGTTTTAGCAAACTGATGAGATTAACAAGCTAGTCTCAACCTTGTGTACAGTTTTACCAGCATTTGATGCTAATTTTGTGCCATGCAGGTAAAAGAACCTTGGGAGGTGCTTGGTTTGGATTTGATTGGACCACTGCCAGAAACTGCACACAACAACAAGTATGTCCTTACCATGACTGACCTGTACACCAAGTGGGTGATTGCGGAACCTATGCAATCTAAGACGGCAGCTGAGGTGTCTGCAATAATAAAAAATCTATCAATTTGACCCATACAATGTATTGTTGGGTATTGCTACAAATATACCTGCGCTACTTATGACTGCTTTTGTGCTGCAGGGTCACATATATGTATTTAAAAAAAAAAATCTAATGTAGTTAAAAAAAAGTTTTTCGGAAACTTCATTCATTCCTATCCAGTCAAATTGACCCGTGAGGGAAGGATTTGTAACTTCTTGTTTTTTTTTTTAAATTACAACCACAGAAACTGCGTATCCACATTTTTTTGTGAACTTGTTCCCAATTCAAGTCCGACAAAAGTCATAAAGTCTCATACCATAATGATCAATGCTTGGTTTTAAAAAATAAACTAAAATCATTTCCGGGGTCGAAATGATCCTAAAAGGATTAGGATATGTATGTATATATGTTTAAACAAGCCAGCAGTTGTTTTTAAAACTAACTGTGGATGCACATTTCCTTTTCCAGGGTTTTCCTCAACAGTGTACAGGGAATTCCTGTGGCATCTACATGCTGATGGTAAGAATGTTTCATTTGTCAAAGCTGTTAAATAATAAAATCAAAGTCTTACAGTGTTATTTGTATTTCACAGTATGCTCTCAGCACCTGTACATCATGCCCACTAACATTCACAGAGGTAAGCTATATTTCTACAAAAATACACCAAACTACTTTTATGTGGCTTTTTTTGTTTGTTTTTATTTTTGTTTTGCATTCTTTTAGGAGGAGGTGCCATTGATTCGCCAGTGGTGGTGCATTCAGTTGATGGAGAGGTTTTGCCTTGAAGGGTATGACAGACTCTACAGATACAATTTCAGTATCTCGGCTGTATTAAGTCACTGTTGGCAAAGTGATACTAGAAAAGTCTTATACAAATAGAGTGCATATACATTTACATATTTTACAAAGGCATGGACAGAGATTTGCACACTGGACAGAAGAAGCATCCCAACTCCTTCAGGGAACCCTTGAGCCTGTCTTTAGGGTGTCAAAATCCACCACCACCAAACAGTCACCCAGCAGAAGAGTTGGGGTTGAAGAGGACACTGATAAGGTAAATTATTTTAGTGGTCATATATCACGGAGTTGCATGCAAGTTGGATAAATAGTTTAATTTGTTTGTGCCATTATATATTTGTATATTCAGGTGCAACAGCCTAGCATTGTGAGAGACCTTCATACAGCTTGGTACTGGGTAAACAATCACAGAGACTTATTCCATGGAGAGGTGACAGAGCCTGCTTTTCTGCAGATGAACAGTGAAAGTCAACAAAATGCACTCAGGAAGGCCCTGGGGAGTGAATTCCCTGAAGCAAAGGATGACTTTTTGTTCATATTTCCGTCTCAAGATGACATGGAAACATTTTTGTCATACTGTGTTGATAAACAAGGCCTGAAGGTCAATGCCATGTTCCTCAATCAGCAGTTGTAGTAGATGAGGGAGGGAGGGAATGAATGAATGAATTCATTCATGAATAAATAATTTGAAAAAAAATATTTTTGTGTTTCTTAGATGCAGACATTTGTTAAAGTATGCTGAAGTAAAACATATCTTTAGAAAATTAATAATTAAATGTAAAACACACACTTATATACTCATCTGTATTACCCAAATAGAGTCTAGCAAATGTAAACTATTTTTTTTTCTTTTATTTAATTTTACTGAATTTATTTAATTTGTGCACATTTAATCGATGTAATTTATATTAAAAAAAGGTGTATTTATATCAAGAGAATCACTAGTAAAGGACTACTTCCGGTACGGATCGGGTAGTGTCAACACATGAAAACATTACATTATTATTAGTATTATAACAACAGTATTATTATAACTACCCAAAATTGCCGTAAATTGTTTCGTCATACAGACAGGAAGTAGACGCATTTCCGCGCATGCGCAGTACAAATCGTGTTTCCGGTACGGATCGAGTAGTGACAGTGCGGCGCGCGCTGCGTCTTCTTCTTGTGTGACAGGTGTCAGTGTTAAGGCGCAATACTGCCACCTGGAAGGTCAACCAGGTACTGGCGCTGGAGTAGGCTATTTGCCGTGTTATCATAAGTGTCCTGTTCATTTTAAATATCATGGTTATCACCAATACCGGTATATCGTCACACCCTAAATTAACACGATGTCGATATTTCATGATATTAACGGTTATCGTCAATACCGGTATATCGCGACACCCCTAGTACGGATTCAAAAACCGAATGTACGGTTTACAAAATCCGAGCGCACGGATTGGAAATTCGCGGGTACGGTTTATTAATCCGTGCGCACGATTTGTTAAATGTAGGGAACAGTTTAAGAATTCGTGAGTAGCCTACGGTTTATAAACTGAGGGGATGGATTGCAAAACCGTTGCCACGGATTGTTTTTTTTCTCCTACAGGTGACTTCCGGGCTCCGTGTGAAATGGACATCAAGTTTCTGATGTCAGTTTGATTTGGATATTTGAGCTGTTTCTTGACGTCAATGTTTGATGTTAATTTCAGGTCTTTTGAACATCATTTGCACACTGGGACACGTTTCAAAAGGAGATGTGGTAAATCGATGCTGTCCGAGGCCCCAGTTAAGAAAAAATGCTACTTAAACTTAATCAGGCTGACAAAGAATTCATATTAAGCAATAAATATCAATATCAGAGAGTGGTGGCAAACAGAAACCAGTTTGTTGTGACTTTCATGCACGCAACCTAAGCCTTAGGGCAAATGCAGAGCTTTAAAAGCTGACATGCAAAAGAGAAATGCAAACTCTTAAGTTTCGTTTATTAACGCTTTCGTGCTACGTGAGTCAACAACAAAACTATGCTGCTGATGTTCAGAAAGTTCCCCAGAGCTGATATAGGTTTGGTGAATTAACCATCCTAAAAAAATTAATAATAAAAACTATGATCTTGTACAGATAATTAGCAATCAAGCCTTATTTAAAAATGTATAATTTCAACACACCAGACTAAAAAGAAACCTGCACATAGCTTAAAACAATATACAGAATAAAATGGACAAGTGCATGACACTTGTCCATCAAAACCTCACCCATGGTAATGCTAATACTTCTATAAATATGAATAATTATTCACTAATATAATAATGAATAATAAGAATGATAACAGAAATGAAGCCTTTACATATACAATAATGAAGATCTTGGATTGTGTAATGTTTAAACATCCATTGAACTCAGACTGGATCATTCCCTTTGGCCTAAAGCGGAAAGTCACTATTAATTTACTTTCACTTCACATGCTTTCACTTTAATTTTCCCTGAAACCTATACCTATTCTTTTTCAGAAGACTAAATCTCCAAATTTGATAATTAATAGTGACGCTGACGAAAATTGTCACAGTTAATTAGCCTTTTAGAAAATAAGTCTAAAAGGCTAAAAAGCTTTGTGAGGTTTATTACTATAGAACATTATGGAATAAAACAAAATGCAAGCAAATCAATACACACTGTAAACATCTAAACTGTGTATTCTACTTATTTTTATGATTATTCTGTATAAATTTTAAATAATTTCAAGTAAAATTTACAAAGTAGAACATTTCTGTTTCACTTTTCACTTTAACACACACCAAGAAGTCCACACCCACAGATCAATCAGATTCAAGTTCAGAAATCTTACTCTGACACTACACAGCTGAATCGACTGCAGTCTCCTGTCCTTACAGACATTATCCTGTGAGATATAAGGTAACTTTCCCTTCAAATTATGCTGCTTAAAGTTAACTGAAATTTTAAACTTAATTACTTTTTTAATAATTATCATGTATAACTGTCTAATTTATTCAACAAGTATTTGATCCGTGATTTGTGGACAGTAAAAAATGTGGAACTAATCAGATAAATAATACAAGTTTGTCCACGAGAGTCTATTCTTAACGTAGTTTTCCTCTGAAGAAACTGCACATATTTCTAAAATCTCTGGAATTAGAGTAGTTTTTCTTGATGTACTTCAAAGACGTGGACTAACACTGGTTTATAAATTTACATGCATCACATAAGCTGCTCATGGTTCAGAAATATGATCTCATGAGTATTCATATGTATCTTCTATAAAGTGTCAGTGTAAAATGTACAATTACTTTGGCTTGCATAGACACTGAAATGTACCATAATGACGTATTAACAGCATCTAAAATGTAAAATCAGCTGTTCTGATATTCTTTTTATGATCTGTAAAAATGGTTATGTTTAGGCATGGGGGCAGGTTTAAGGGATCTAAAATATATCAATAAAGTGTAAAAAAAAAAAAAAAAAATATATATTTATTTTAAGAAAGATTTGTAAATATCTTATGATTCTACATCATCTAACCAAACATATGAAAAAGCTGCTTTTCTACTGTCGGCAAGAACAGTTCTAAGATGGGTAAGGAATGGTTAAAGTTATATATTAAAGTTATATTTACACTTGAGCTTGGTTTGGCAATTACAAATAATTTTTGGCCCAGAATTCTAAACAAATTCTAAGTTATTCTATTTGCCAAATGTGCTAGCATTTGCATGTAGTGACGTTGCCACATACCAGGAATGGAACATTAACTGTTTGGCCCGACAGTGAATTAGCGGCTAATAAGAGGAGGCTGGGATCTAACAACTGGTTAAGCAGGATTTGGCAGTTGTGGGAGAAAGAGCTAAATGATAACCTGTATCAACCTGTCGCGTGTAAGACAACACTGCTACCAAACGTAACACCCATGATGAAATTAACTTTGTACAATGAATACAACAAAAGGAAAGCAATATTTTTGGACACCAGAATGTTTAAAACTCAAAACCTCAGTAATTATCTCAAAATATAAAACAAAAAGTTCCTACCCTCCATCACTCTTTGTTTTGACAGGGAACTTACTAAGCTGATGATCTTTGGTCTGTGAGAGCAGATCTGTTAATGGCTACACAGACCATAAATTTCATCACCTGGAATGTTAATGGACTTAAACGAAACAGAGATAAAAAAAAATGTAATAACTACAAAATGCTGACGTTGTTTTCTTACAAGAGATACACATTGGAGTAGGAGATTAACACATTATAGAATGTCTAAAAAAACGAGTGGTATGTATCTTACACAAAGTTTACCTCCCGAATGGGAACAGCCATACTAGTCAAGAAAAGACCACATTTTGAACAAATAAGTGATGAAAAAGATAACTGTGGAACATATGTTGTGCTGAAATGTAAACTGGGAGGTCAGCTGTACACTCTAGTGAGTGTTTATAACCATGAAACAGACACAAAAACCCTTGATAAATGTTCAAGTTACCTGCAGTCACAGGGCTGCTGGTGATCAGTGGAGATTTCAACACAGTTCTCAATCCATTTATTGACAAAGATAACCAAATTCATTCAAAAGAGGTGACAGACAGCACAACCCACAGAAAGCTGCACTGTTGTGTGAAAAAGTTCATGAAATCTCTTCAGCTGGTTGACATCTGTAGAAGAAAGAACCCCACAGAGCAGAATTATACGTTCCACAGTCAAGTTGCGTCCTTGTTGGATTATTTATTTGTTCCAGAAGAATGTATGTGGCGTGTCAGAAGTTGTAAACTATAGAGACTCTGAGATGCGTGACCATCGTCCTGTGTACTTGGAGATCAACAATGACCCCACAATAGTTTTTCTGAAAGATCTCCAGATACAGCCAGTCGTCCAATGGCTGAATCTAAAAAAGGATCTATTGACAGATGAGATGGGTTCATTATTGGATGAAGAAAACTCACATGCAGTCAGTGATGTTGACATTGTGTCAGCTGTAAATTCTCTTCAGGTGTCAGACACACCAAGACCAGACGGCATCCCAGTTTCCTTCTATAAAGACAACATTCACTTCATAATTCCATAAAGATGCTCTATGACAGAATCCACAGAGGTGCATTTAACTGCTATGAGAAACACTTCAATAAAACTGTGAAAAGTCCACATGACAATAGTCAACACTTAATTAATGTAAACTACCTCATCATTGCAACTATTCTGAAAAATCAAAAACTGTCAAACCCGGCTCTGTATCAGGATTTCCTCATTGTGAAAAACATTTTCAGAGATGCACCAGAAGTAGATACTGAATCTGCAGATGTTTCAATTGAGAGAGACAAACTGCTGGATCAGGGCTGCCCGCTGACCCCAGCTCTGGCTCTGAAATGCTTTGCCTCTGCATTAGCTGGCCGTTTAAAACAGCATGAAATTCTGTTTTTTTTCAAGAAAGCGTGATACTTTGCATTCAACCAGAGGACCTTGAGAAAATAATAGCTGCTGTGAAAAAAATAGCTAATGAAGTGTTTTACATTAAGGAATTATGTAGAGGAAATGTTGAAGTTGAACAACTAAAATATACAGAAAATTAATCTAAGGATGAAGATTGGTATGAAAGGGAAGCAGAAACACTGATGGATAACACAGAGGAAGAATCAGAAGCCAGTTGGTCTAAAACAAACAAAGGCAAAAAAAAAAAAA